ATTAGATTCTGCTTTGGAACCATTGGCATATCCTTTACTATTCCCAAATGGAGATTTTGGTTGGCACGTTAATATATCGCATAACGTGCAACATAATTCTAATGGTAGGCAGATTCGAAATAAAGTTACAATGTTACAATTTGCATGCTTCAGATTTGCAATAAGGGATCAATTTAGCTTTTTGCATAAATCGCAAAAACTATTTTTGCAATACATTGTTGATATGTACGTGAGAATAGAAGGATGTCGACTACATTTTATAAGACAGAATCAAGTAAATTTGAGGGCAGATGTGTATAACAATATTAGTGATTATTTGCAAACGAATCAAGTAGGAGATGGTAGCTTAGGTCGTAAAGTGATTTTGTCTTCATCCTTCACTGGGTCTCCGAGAAACATGTATCAAAATTACTTAGATGCAATGTCAATTGTTCAGTATTTTGGCAAGCCATCGCTTTTTGTTACAATGACTTGCAATCAGAATTGGGCGGAAATTGTATATAATATTGATCCTAATGAATCATCTCATTTCAGGCCTGAAATAGTTGTGCGTGTATTTAAATCGAAGTTAAAAGAACTCATTTCTGACATTTGGAATAAATATATTTTTGGCAAAGTTGAGGCTCTTATATATACAATCGAATTTCAAAAAAGAGGTTTGCCTCATGCTCACATTTTGATAACTTTATGTGAAAATGACAAAATTGTCGGGCCGGCTGATATTGATAAAATAGTTTGTGCAGAGATACCGGATAAAAATTTGCAGCCAAAATTACATGAATTTGTTGTCAAACACATGATGCACGGTCCTTGCGGTGTTTTGAATCCAAGCTCTGTATGTATGCAAGATGGAAAATATTCAAAACAATTTCCAAAGGATTTTGTGCAATTAACGAAAGAATCAGTTAATGGTTATCCGTTGTATAGACGGCGCGATAATAATGTTTCCGTTGATGTTAGAGGAAAGTCTCTAGATAATCGTTATGTCGTTCCATACAACCCGTATTTGTTTGCAAAATATAATTGTCACATTAATGTCGAGGTGTGCACTTCCGTCAAAAGTATTAAGTACATATATAAATATGTATATAAGGGTTTTGATAGTGCAACTGTTTTAATTCAAAGTGAAAGCACAAACGAAAATGACTAACAAGTACAAGTTGAAGTAGATGACGTTAGAAATTTTTTGAATGGTCGATATGTGGGATCAACTGAGGCTATGTGGCGAATATATGAATTTCCTATGCATTTTCAGTCTCATACTATAATTCGTCTTCACATTCATTTGACACAAAGACAAAATATTATATTTCGCGAAGACCAAGAAAGACAAGCAGTAGAAAATCCTAAGCTTACGAAGCTATTAGCTTTCTTTCAATTGAATCAAAGTGATTCATCTGCTAATCAATATACGTATATAGAAATTTCATTGCATTATGTTTGGATTGATAGTAGAAAATCTTGGCAAAAAAGACAACGAGGAGGAGATAAAATTATTACTCGGATGTATATGGTGTCTCCCAAAGAAATTGAGCAATTCCATTTAAGATTACTTTTGTTGCATGTAAAAGGGCCAAAATCATATGAAGATGTGCGTACATTCAATGGAATGGTTTATAGGACATTTATCGAAGCATGTCATGCTAGGGGAATTGCGTCCAATTATAACGAGTGGAGAGTTTCTCTCAATGAAGCTAAGACATTTAACTCAGGAAAACAAATGCGTAATTTGTTTGCGATTAATTGTGCCTTCAATATTCCAGCAAATGCATTAGCGCTTTGGGTGGAATTTAGAGATCATTTAAGCGAAGATTTCGTTAGAGATGGTTGTAGTGTAGATGTTTATTTTAATAGAGTATTATTGGAAATCGAGGATATTTTGTTAACACATAATGTTACATGTACGTCACTTGGTTTGCCTACACCTACAATAATGCCAGAATTTGCTGATCTCGATATTTTTGATCCTTTCGTAGAAGAATGTTTATTTAATGAGCTTTATGATTGCGCAAATAATGAACAGCGTGATACTATTGATAAAGTTATTCGTGAAGTTCAGTATTACGATACAGGATCAAATGTGTTTTGTTTGACATCCCATGCAGGTTGTGGGAAAACATTCACACAAACGGCTATAATTCGTAAATTAAATTCCCTTAATCTTCGCTGTATTTCGTGTGCATTTAGTGGTATTGCTGCGAGTCAAAGCAATGCATAATAACACAATAGATTGTGAAGTACTCACTGGAGTTGCTCGCGGAAAACGTGTTTTGATTCCACGCATACACTTGACGTATTCAGGGACTGCACTGCCATTTAATTTTCAAAGAACACAGTTTCCACAGTCATCAGCGCATTTGCTATGACAATTAACAAATCCCAAGGACAGACATTTGATAGAGTTGGAATATTGTTGAGGAGACCTGTTTTTTCGCATGGTCAACTTTACGTTGCAGCCAGTTGAGTTAGATCATTTGACGGACTTAAATTTTATGTCAGTAATGAAGGTGGACAAGGTCATTTGGCTAATGATGAAAGGGTTTTTACAAAAAATATTGTTTACACTGAAGTTTTGAGAACTTCGTGATATAAAATATAGAATTATTATTATGCATTATTATCATTTTAGATTTCATTCAGTTTAAATGTTTTTCAATATTTAATTTTTTTCATTCGTTCATTTGCCAATTTCATTTCTTTGTTTCTTGCCTTCACTGCATACCGCGATTTGATTTCGTGATGGCAGAGTATAGGAATTTGTTTGATAATTAACACGGGAGCGAGATGTTGTGCAAAGTCGCATTGTCGAAATTATGCAATAAATTGACGCAATAAATTGCGTCAGAATTTCGAATTTCTTTAGAAGAAGGTGCTGTTCTACAAAATTGCTGATTCCTATACTGATAACTTTCCGATATCACCTGAAGAACAAATGTACGGAGCAGATGTTAAGATAATTTATTTGTTGAAAAGATTTCAAAATGGAGCATCAGTTCGAAACTTTATCGGTATTTCATTCAAACAATTCATCATATTTCATATTTTATACTAATTATTTTCTTTTTTCGCAGGTGCATATGTGGTCACATATGACGAAAAATTTAAATTAAACGATTTGATTGGATTGATAATACAAGGAAGAATTAAGCCAAAACCAGAAACACAACAAATAATTTTGCACGAGATGAAATTATAAATTTTAATTTATTTTTTAAATTGTTTTCTACAACTTTCTTTAGATTTTGTTCATATTTTAATCAAATTCATCAATAAAATTTAAATACTATTAAAATAAATAAATTGTATTTTCTATTGGTCGAATTTCGACCACTGGCGACCCTAGTTATATTAATTAAGACACAATACTTTAGTTTTTGCGACTTCTTTATTAAATGTGAATCTTGACTAAACTATCTCTAATATTTTTCCCCTTATATATAGGAAGGATTCGAATTATTGAATCCTGATAAGACGCTTCGTTGTTTGGTTAGGCCAAACAACTATAATAAAATATTTAGGATGATAATAAAACCTTTCGTTGTTTGGTTAAGCCAGACTGAGCTCGTTGGCAAATCATTTGTGTATATTAAATATAACAAAGGACCAAGTACACTGCCTTGGGGTACCCCAGCGTTGATTTTTTGGAGTTCACTGTAATCGTTTCCATGCTTAACACGGAAGTAACGATTAGTCAAATAAGAAGAAACCATATCGAAATACTCCAACGGAAAAATGTCTCTTATTTTTGTTAGTAGACCTGTATGCCAAACTTTGTCGAAAGCCTGGGATACGTCTAATTTTGAGGTTGGATGACAATTTGTTTTTATTATTTTTACAAAACTTGATTCGTTTTAATTATAGAAACCAACAGCCCAAATATATTATAAAAAACTATTAGAAGTGACAAAAATTGATACAACGTGGGACTTAGTAAGATTTAAGATGAGATATTTTAAGCAAAGTTTTGTTAAGGCAAACAATTGGCGCAAGTCTACTGGCGCCGGCTTGCTAGATGACGAAGAAGTCACATCTATAAAAGGTAATTAAAATCAATTTTGTGTTAGTATAAATGTTATTTAAATGTTTCCTTTTTGTTTGTAGATAAGGTAAAATTGATGTGTCCATATTATGACCAATTGTCGGAAATATTTGGTGAGAAAGCTTGGAGCAACAAAATTGTTTTACAATCTTCTGCTATGGTATGCGACAAGGAGGTGTCAGTGCAAGAACTGAATAGTACCAGCGAACGAGCAGGCGTTGAAATAGCGAACAGCGAAGAAGCAACACCATTTAGCATGATATTTGATGCAGATATACTGACAGAAAATACTGTGTAACAGATCACTACTAACAGAAGCGAGGTTAACACACAAAAAAAAACTACACCAGGGAGGATTCGTTTCGAAAACAATTTAAGACGTAATAAACAAACATCCGCCATTCAGGAACTAAACGATATTGAACGCAAACGAGAGGAGTTCCAAAATCGGAAGCTTCAACTTGAAGCAGAAAAATTCGAGTTTCACAAAGAATTGGAACTAAAAAAATTGCGCATGAAGGAGGATAAGATGAACATGAGATTCAGGCTAAAAGAGGAGAAGTTAAAGCAAAAAGAGAAATTGGCGATATATGAACTGGATTTAAAATATTGCAAAGCGAACGATAGCTAATTTTTCAATTTTATTTTGTCTTAACTAATTAATGATTCAATTTAGTTTTAAGTTTTAACAAATATTAAAATTTAATTTTATTATTTTTAATCTATTAATGATAAGTTCGATACACTTAGTGTATTAGGTTTAGTATATATAGTATATAAGTTGAGTACTTTTGAACTTTTTAATAACATTACCTCTATATATTTAACTTTTACTGTATAATTATTTTTTAACATTTTTTCATATTACTCTTACTTTTACTTGTATTTTTTCATTTTAAAAATTATATTTATGTTTTCACTATTTTAAGTTTCTTATAAATATGAATAAAACATTTGCAAATTAATTAAACATAAGATTGTAAATTGACTTTCTTTTACTTTCATATGCACTAGATTCGTTGTTATAGAGTAACATATCAGGAAGATCTTCCTCTGCAGAAATATGTATTTCTTCACGGCTTTGACTTTCAAATTCAGTAAGCAATATGTTGTGAAGAATACAGCACACAAGTATCCTTTCACAACAAAATTTATGACTTTTGTTATTTTTAATTCGAACTCTTAGTTCTTTCAAGCTACTAAATTTTTCCTTCAATAACCCAAAACAATGTTCCACCCGAACTCGATATTTACTATGGCGTTTATTGAACTGAATTCGTTCTTCACTGGTAAGTTGCTGTGAGTTTCTTCTATATGGTGGTATAATGATATCAGACAACGGATATGCGGAGTCACCAGCAATCCATGATTGATTAGAAAAAAATCGATCTTTTTCTTTTAAAAGTATTGAGTTCGAAAAAACTTTAGCATCGTGAGTCGAGCCCGCATAACCAACAACAACATCTCTTATTCTTAATTTGTAATCACAAACAGCTTGAAGTTTAATGGAATAAATGTGATTTCTTGAAAAATATTTTTCATGATTAATTTGTGGTGCATCTGCAATTTTTATTTCGGTGCCATCGATATAGCCAATGCAAAACGGTAATTCATTGTACGTGTCACTTATTATTTGTTCCTGCTCTGATGAGCTTGGCCATACGATGTACTTCGTCAATAGTGTTATAAAAACACTAAAAATTCTTTGTGTAATTTTCATCAAAGTTGCACCATCGCCAATTCCAAAAGTAGTTGCTACTTTCCTAATTGACGCACTCTCTTCTGAAGAGCCCAAACGATACAGAACTATAGCTAAATGTAGTCCAATCGGAAACTGTTTGCTGCCGTTTGCTTTTTTAAATATTTCAGCTTCAGAAATCAAGGCAACTAAATAACCAAATAAGCAAAACCGACCGTCATCTAACTTGGTTAAAATTTTTTTTTACTTTTGATTCAAGTTAATATATAAATTCTACTTACAAAATAAATATTTCCACTGTGATACTTCTTTTAGAAGTAATTAAAAAAAATTAATTTATCAGTTGTCATTCACGTTGCTCATACGCACCATAATACCATTAAATCAATTTTCGAAGAAAAACTATACAAAAATTTTCACTTTTTATTTTTAAACCTGCGCAACAAGTATCCGGATTTTGTTGTTTGTTAACTACTCCTTAAGTAATAGACCTTTTTCAAAAAATTTTTTTTGTTATTTCTTGACATATGGTACAAATTTGAACGCCATCTGTCAATTAGTTTGTTTACAGCAGCTGTTAATGTGAAACTACCTCAAGTGCATTTAGCGATTTTTACTATGGAAAATTCTTGTTGTACGCGATTTTTTGACCAAACACGGCACCACTGTCATCGCTCAGGCACCATATTCACCAGATCTAGATCCGTTTCCTGTTCCCGTAACTCGAATTGCTTCTTCGTGGTAAGCGTTTTGAGTCGATTGAATCGGTAATAGAGAACTAAAAGCCATACCTTCACGGGCCTACGAAAAGTGTATGGAAATTTGGGTAAAGCGTTGGCATATGTGTATCGCTTTAGAAGGAGCATATTTTGAAGGAGATAAAATAAATTTGGAATAAAATATAAAATTGTGTGTTTTATTCACAAAATCCGAGTACTTTTTGAGCAGAAGGTAAAATATTGACATTTTAAATTAGTTTCGCATCATTTCTGTTTTTAAATTATGATTTTTAACATAATTAAACCGTTCAATAAACTTTTTTCTTATATACCATAGATGAATTAAAAAGTTGATTAGTTTCATAGTAGCCGAACTACCTAAAAAACTGCAGCACATAATCACACCTACCTTTTTCGGTGGAAGATAGCAAATATATTATTTTTGATGGCCATCAAAGATTAGCTTATATGGCGTTAAAGCAAAACATTGTTGTACCAAACGGTCGTGAGCGGGTATTTTTTATTTGCTCAGGTATTTCTCGCTTGTTGGATCTTATTGTTCCAACAATGGTCAACTTATATGGCTCTTTTAGGAAACTCTTTGCTAGTTGTACGGAGGTGAACCAATTATCGCAAGTGATGTTGCGACAGGTACCATGTATTGGCCTTTTTAACTCCTTCACGAAGTATTCACCTAATGGCATCGTTGAAGTTGTGTAACGATACGGATTTTCCCGTTTCGTTGTACCATAGGCTTAAAAACGCCACTGTGTCAGACAATTTTTAATATTTATTTATTTTATATGTTGACATACAATGCCACTGAGTGTCATACAAGACACACTCCCTTCTTAGAAAATTGCGCCGTCTTTTATATGCATCCTCTTGAACTTTATGTGCAAAGTACACAAAGCTTTGAGTTTCTCTTAGTTAAACTTAATGCACTTTAACACTTTTGCACTAAAGCTTCCTTGTGCATCTTTTTGCAGCGAATTGCATTTTGACGTTTTTGACGTTTGCAAATGTTTGTTTACATTTTTACTTTTTACATGAAAGCGCCGGTGTTAGTAATTTTATCGTGTTTTTTTTTAAATTATTTATAATTTAATTTTATAATTATGAAAAATTATTTATTAATAAATTATTTAAATAAATTTGCGGGGATGAACAAAGAAGGAATGTATTTATTATTTTATTAAGATATATTTCTCTATTTATTACAAATTTATTTTCTCTTAATTTCAGATTGCTTCACGTGTTGCAGTTGCGTGCAGGCTGGGTGACTTTTTGGTAAATAGTTTCTAATAACTATGTTAAATGTTAATTCCTCTATTTTAATTTCAGATTTCTTCGAAATTTATTTAAATTTATGTAGGTTGGAAATTTGTGCAAAATTTTCATCCTTACAGTTGTTGTTGTCTTGTCCTAATATGGCAACAATGTACCTATCTCCACTATAGGTTGTATTGAATAACTCAATAGCTGACAAGTGATTGTCCTTCAATACTGCGGTCAAAGTCAGTATGCTAAGAAGAGCACCAATTTCAAGACAATTTGTATCTGCGAACGTTTTGCTTGTCAAATTAGTTGTTCGTATTAAAGATATCTCTGCATCTGTCCACTAAACTATTTCTGATATTATTTCGTCAGTAAAAAAAGCAGTGAAGGAAGAAATCGGATCACATAAGGCTTTACATGCTCTTGTGAGACCTCTTATTATTCGAACACCATTCATCGATAGAACTCTACCGGCATTTATTCCCTTCGAAGTAGTCCAGCAATATTGGCTTTTGCTTCTTGATGTTGGCTGAAGTACTCTTACTATCCGGCTGTCTAAAGACGACCTATTATTGTTGGTTTCTTCGTGTTCCGGGTCTGGCGATATATTTTCACGATTTTCCTGTACATTAAGATCTTTATCTTTTGCGTCTTTTTTGATATTTTGGAATATCATTTTCCGATACCACATCTTCTCTTTCACTCTCATTTTCGGTTAAGCTAAATTCATCTAGATATGTCAGATAAGTAGCTATTTGCGTGTCGTCTAATATTTCATTACTTTCCATTTTGCTTTTATTTACACTTACATGTACTGAATTTAAATAAAAAAACACAATAACTAATAATCGCTTCTCTTTCACTCTCATTTTCGGTTGAGCTAAATTCATCTAGATATGTCAGTTAAGTAGCTATTTGCGTGTCGTCTAATATTTCATTACTTTCCATTTTGCTTTTATTTACACTTACATGTACTGAATTTAAATAAAAAAACACAATAACTAATAATCACTCAAAAATTGTACAAGTAGCACAAAACATAAACATACATCTCGTAGACGTATGGCTTGGCAGTATCTCAATATATACAAATTTTACCACCGAAAATCAACTACCACTGGTAACGACTGAGATAAATGCAAATATGCATACGTTGTGAAAACATTTGTGAGAGAGAGAGAGCAAAATGTAAAAAGATCGTACGCCTCACAGACGTACATTATGAAAGCAGGGTTGAACTTATTATATTTATATATTTATACCGCAGCACCATACTGCAGCCGAGTAATGTACTCTCTTTTACGGTAATGTTTTTAAATACCAAAAAAAAAAATTCAAAAAGTTTTATCTTAATTCAAAATAATAAAAAATAAACAACACAAAAATTTTATTCAATTTATTTATGCTAATTTAAAGCTAGGCAAGTGCTTTGGTTAATGTTACTAATTAAATAAAAAAGTGACAAAAAACCTGGAACTAGAGCACTTAAAGTTTGTGTAGTCTCGTCTACTCGTCTACATGGTTAGTCATCGCTTCTAATTTGTTAGGCACGAGTTCTAAACCTGGCACTTGCAGCCCAAACAAATTATATACGGACTATGGTATAAACTAATTAAGAAATTCGATTATTTTCTAGAACCACTATTGATGAGAACTTGGCAATACTCGAAACAGCTTTGTATGGTCAGCCAAATTTCAATAAATTGAATAAAATTTTTGTCTTTGTCCTTTCTTTCTTTGCTATTTGAAAACCCTTTAAATTTTAAAAATTAAACAACCGGATAACCATTTAAAGAAACAAAATTAGCATTTATTTTTAAAAATATTCGTACAGTTTACACTTTGCCAATAGATTAATAACAGCAGTTTTATATTATTTAAACCATACTTTTTGATTTCATTTGCAGTGAAATTCGGTGATAAATTTATATAATTTTCCTATATGCAAGAATTATTGTTTACTATGTTGCGAGTCGTTTTCTTCTTGTTCCTTTAACTTTACAACACTTTTTTTCCTAGAAAAGATAATATTCAGTAAGGTACATTCATTTTGTTTTAATAGGTTAACCAAAACTACTTTGTATTTGCCCTGTTTGAACTCCTTGTCAGTTTCTTGTGGGCTGTCAGATCCATCAGTTGTTTTAATAAATGATGAATAGAAGGATGAGAAACTTGAGCCATCCATATCGTCGCTATTACCATTACTATCAGTATTTGGCTAAAATATACAAAACAATGCATTTAATATTTAGCACTGAATCAAATAAATAATTTCACACTATTTTTATCAAATACATAGTTTCTAAAGAGTACTTTTGGGTGATTCTTTTACTAACCGGACGGATTTTGGCAAAAAATTATCTCATGAT